AATATTTTTAAAAATTGTATTATTTGAGTTTTGTTACGTTTTTGTTGAGATTTCTAGCATAAATTATTTCAAGAATATACTATCAAACGAACTATTATTTTAATTCTTGGAGCCACATCTACAAAGCTATAAATGTTGTAAACTAACAATATTTGTTTACAATAATTAATGTTTTTAACTCATATTTTTTAACTTGTCAACGTTTTGTAATTATGTTTTATATTATTATATTGTAATTAATGTATTATAGATTTTATTAGTATATTCTAATTTTTTATATACAAGGAATGTATTTTTTATGTATGTAATGTATTTTTATGTATGTAATGTATTTTTATGTATGTAATGTATTTTTATGTATGTAAAGTATTTTTATGTATGTAATGTATTTTTATGTATGTATTTTTTATGTATATAATTTATGTATGTGTATTTTATTCAAATGTAATCTTTTAAAGCAATATGTGCGATTGATTTTGTAAACTAAAATACTTTCAATAATAACTGCGTTTTTAATGAAATTATTAATAATCGTCAAAGTTAATACAAATAACCACTAATCCATTTTCCTCAGTGTACCCGATAACTGATTATTTCTCCTAAGAAAGAAAAGTTTTTAAGTTCTTAGAAATTGGTTTATAACTTCTATTATTTTTGCTTCAGCCATTCTTACAAACTCGTTATACTTAGAGTTACTTTTTTCTGGTTTAAATACTAATTAAAATTATAAAGCCCACTTACTAAAACATCATCAGCAGTATTGTGAGGCAGTTCCGCTTCCTCCTCACAATGTAATTTAACGTTTTTTTAAATTTCTATCTAGCTAATTGAATTTCTAAAGTAACTCAATGATTTAATTATTTTATTTGTTCATCTTACTAAGAAATAAGACATAGGTATATAAATAAGAAATAAGACATAAGTATATAAATAAAAACTGGAAATAAGACATAAGTATATAAATAAAAATTATATATACTCTTTGATAAAATGAAGAACATTTGTTTCTTTATAGTTGTTACTTTATATAAAAAATGTCGCTTAATTTTATTAAAAAAATTATGAAATAGCAACGTTTCAAAAAAATTGCTTTAATACATTTATTTTGCTTAAAGTTTTTTTGCGTTAAAAGCTATTTTTCTTTTTTTAACTCTCATCGGTCCAGTTAATCTTACTGCACTTTTTTGTTTGTTTTTGAAATGCTCTCAAAACGACTAAAAAATCTGGCCGGTTTTTCACAACTAAATAATATTTCCGTGGTCATTTATCTAGTGCGATCGCACCCGCTTCCCGACCAAGCCTGTTATATCTGTATAATAAACTGCATGGTGTTCACTAATTCATCTGTTCATACATGTGTTCATACATAGGTATTCATCTGTTCCATCAGAGCCATCTGTTCAGGTAGAAATCGATTTTAAGAACAGATTTAGAGTCATTAAGTGAGAATCTAAAATGATAGATATCCAGATGGGAAGTGAGACTTGTTTTAAGTTAAAAGTTATCCTATGTTAAAATATGCTAACTGTCATGATGATTGTTAGCATGACCAAAGAAAAAAGATGCTAATACAAAAATAACATCCCATGCCGATGTCCTGAATCACTAATATGCTGTTTTTTAATGTCTTACTCTAAAGATAAAAAAAGCAAATAAAATATAAAATAATACTATATCACCTGTGCAACAGAAAATACATTACTAAATAACAATGCATGTATAAAAGAGATACTATTAATATAAAATATACTTAAAATAATACAATTAAAAAATGTTAGTGCCCTTAGAGCCAATTAGAATTAAGTAGTAAATAATAAGTGATCCACATCCTCAGGAATGCACTGCAATCACTGATGGCATTTTAGGGTGCCTGAGACCTGCACTGATGTATATCTGTATGTGCATGTAATAAAATAAATTTTGCAATATGTGTAAAAATAACACAAAGCAAATAGTAATTAGTATAAAAAGTAACTTACAATTCCTATTATGGTTGTATGTTTTATAAATATAATAAGCAAGTACCCAGTTAAAATAAGTTAAAATAAATGCACAAATTAAGATTAAAACTAAGATAAAATAATTTGTGATTAGTAAACTAAGATAAGATGGTTTGTGATTAGTGTACAAAATCTCAGTATGAAATGTGGTAAATCAAATAGTATGGAAAATATTGATCTTATCTGATAAGTGGAGACAATTCCTTTCATGAAACAGACTCAAGCTAGAGGTTATAAAATTAGACAATCATTAACTCAGTAGGTAGAGAATAGTGAGAAAATAGATTGATATGGCAATCAGTGCAATATTTACTATTAGCTTATAACCACTGAAAAATGTCAAGTGTAAAACAATATTATTGAAAAAACAACCAAAAGAATGTTAATTAAGACTGTTTAGTGCAAACCACAACAAACTAACTTATTAGCATCAGATAAAGAAAATTAAGTATCATGGAAAAAGAAAATATAGTATATAAATTAAGTGAAACTAAAAAATCAAATTGTCAAATGAAGAAAAAACTATGAAAAATCAGTATAGTTGATAGTTTCATCTAAAAAAAAAAAAAACTTATCTAGTAGAATAATTTAGTAGATTCTAATTAAAAATACATTTGTTCTAAAAAAATGCTACATATCTGTGTTATTCTTGTTGTGTATGCTATCCAGCCTAATAATTGTAAAGGAGATCTGGTTTATATTCAGCTGAATACATATATTATCTGATGGCTTGCTTAATTATTTTTAACCCTAGTTACTAATTGTAAACTAAACCTAAATTGTGCTTCATTTTTGCTCAGTGAATGAAAACCTTAACAACCCAGAAGAAGTTTTTTGGATCAAAATGATCCTAAAATGCTGAATACTTTTTTAAACAAGATAATGAGCTTATCACTACCATAAGCAAAACAAGATAATGAGCTTATCACTACCGTAAGCAAAACAAGATAATGAGCTTATCACTACCGTAAGCAAAACAAGATAATGAGCTTATCACTACCGTAAGCAAAACAAGATAATGAGCTTATCACTACCGTAAGCAAAACATAATCCAAATAAAAGTAAAAAAATGCTGAATACTTTTTTAAACAAGATAATGAGCTTATCACTACTGTAAGCAAAACATAATCCAAATAAAAGTAAAAAAATAAAAGTAATCATAATCCAAAAAAGTATTAAAAATAAAAAATAAGTTAATAAAAATTATGTAGATAAAACTTTCTTTTGGCTGGTAGCATAGTCAATCACCTGAAATATTTTTCCTGAAATTATTGAAAAAAATACTTTATTTTGTTTTATTAATCTTTGTCTGTATTTCTAGAAAATATTATAACAAAATTGTTGGCTCTTATCAAAGATGTTCAAACACCTAAAATTTGCATGCATCAATATTGTAAATATTTGTATTTATTTACCAAGGTAAAGTTTATTAGGCGTGTTTTTAAATACTTGTTTCTATTTATAACAAAGTTAACACCCTTGAATTATTCAATAAAATTTTTTATTTTTCTAAATTTTTTTATTTTTATTTTTGTGTTTTCTTTTTTTTTTCTTCATATTTTTAAAAGTTAAAAGATATACACTACTGGTCAAAAGTTTGGGTTCACTTGTTTTATTTTTCAACTCAACATAATTTCCTTCTAAAATTGAAGCTTCTTCCATTCAAAACTAGCATAAAATTAAAATAATTTTATTAAATAAAGCATTTATTATGAGATTTTGATTGTAAAGAAATTAACACACCTGTTTGCGAATGTATAATATTTCATTACAATAATGAACACTCTGGGTGTATTTTGCTGTTATATTGGAGATATTTTGCTGTAATAATTGGAGATATCTTACTGTAATATTAACCTAATTAACTTTTTTTTCACTGTCGTGTTTTGTAGTATTTTTATACAGAAAGGTAATTGAAACAAGTATTGTAATGCTTATTGAATAATTGTTATGCATGTGAAATAATTTAAAGAATTTTGTTCTAATATTCAAATTTGAAGAAAAGTGTATATTTATTGTTTTGATTGTAGAAAAATGGGTAAAAAAGCAGAGCTGAGTGTAGAAAAACAAGTTGTTATTGTGGCATTACACAAGGAAGGTTATTCTATACAGAATTGCTTCAAAAAACAATGTTTCTTGAAATGAGAGCATTACAAAGAAAGCGTGAAACTTGCTGTAATCAGAATTGTCATTGTTCTGGGAGGCCTAGAGTAATGTTGAATAACATAGACAAATTTATTTGTGTTCAAAGTAAAATAAATCGTACTTTAACTGCTTCTGAAATTTTCTTCGAACTTACAAGTATCTGTTTCAACAGTAAAACAATTTTCAATTAAGACTTGAAAATGTGTTACTGCCTCAACTATTCAAACTAAATAAAGTTAAAAGATTGAGATAATCAGGAATACATAAAGATAAGACAATTCAACAATGGTCTCAAGTCTTGTTCACAGATGAATCAAATCATGGTAAGTCATGGTCTGAGGATGCTTTGCTGGAAACAATGGTGATCATGTGCGAATTGAAGGAGTTATGGATAAAACAAAATACTACGACATTTCTTAAAACGCGTATTTCCATGTGGAAAAAGAATCATGGGTTGTGTATTTGTTTTTCAACAGGTTAATGATGGTAAACACACTTCTTAATTCTGCCAAAATTATATTGCAGCCAAAGAAAAACAAAATGAGCTAAAATATTTGGAATGGCCTACTCAGTTGCCTGATTTAAACCCAATTGAGTTGTGGTACGAGTTTGATAGAAGTGTGAGAAAAATGCAATCAATCAATCAAAAATACCTTTGGGTATTGATACAAAAATGCTGAAACCAAATATCAACTGAATCATTGCAGAAATTTATTGTAAGGATGCACAGAGTATTTGTTGCTGTTTTAAAAGTGAAAAGAGGATACTTTAAAGAATCAAAAAAGCCTGAAAGATTTTTTATGTCATCTTATTTTATTGAAAGATTTTTTTATTGAAAGCAATACAAGTAATTAAAAGTTATTGAAAAAATCTATGTTTTAAATAAAAATAGTGAATATACTGCATTATCTTCAAAATAATTTATTTTGCTATAAGTATAATTATTTTATTTTCAACAATATTAAAAAATACATACAAGGAGCTATTATTTTTTTACATATTAAATGTGAACCCAAACATTTTGAAGTAGTGTATAAAATCTTTTTTTTTTACTATTTTATATCGAATTTTTTTTTTTATTAATTGTTTATATTTCTTTTTTTTTAGTTCTTTAGCAAATATAAATTAAATTTTTTTTTTTTAATAAATTCTGATTTTTTTTAATATTGAAAGGTTAGAGGGTATAAGCAATCATTACGATATTTTTCACATGAAGTTTCAGATCTAGAAGTTGTTTTAAAATTGTTAATTGATCAAAATTCAAATGATTATCAAGTAAGGATTTTCTTTTTGTTGATGATAAAATAAAAAGTTAATAAAATATAAAAATAAACATAAATATAAAATATAAAATTTATTGACTAAATAATTGCTTTTTAGACATGGGAGACACGCTATGTTTTGTTGCTATGGTTAGCAATTATTTGTATTATCCCATTTAATCTTGCAAAGCTTGATGGTGACTCTAAAGAAAAAAGTGTTGCAAATAGAATTTATGAAGCTGTAATGGTGAGTGCTAATAAACAAAACATCATTCAATGTAGTAACATTATTATTTTTCATAACTCTATAGAATGCAGTGGTTAAGGTATTATGACAAGAGATCTGGAAGTTTCCTTGTAGTGCATTTTCCTGGTAGTACCCTGAATCTTTCCATATGTAAAAAAACTTGAATATAATTTTCAGGTGATTGTGCAAAATTAAATTGTGCAAAATTATTTATTATAGTTATTTCTATATAATTATTTATAATTATATAAAATTTTATTAATATTTTTCATATAATTATAGTTATTTTTCAAGTGATCACGCAAAAAGAAATTGCGCAAAATTAATTTATTATGTGCCAGAATAGACATTATGTGAAACAATTTAAATATTTCCTATAGAATGATCTTATGCACATATCTGTGGATTAATTTTACAATATTTCTTCTAGAATGATCCTATACACTTTTATGTGTTGAAATTTTACAAAATTTTTTCTAAAATTATCCTAAACATTTATCTGTGGTGATATTTTTTCTAGAATGATTCTAAACTCATTTAAAACTATCATTTAATTTGTTTACAACAAATTATTATTGTCATTTTTTATTTTATAAAATTGTTACTTGATTTATAAATTTTTGTTTGTTGTAAATATTTGCTTTGCATTTAGCATTTTATTTTAAATACAAGATTTTCTATTTATCTATGATTTAACAATTCTTTTTCTGTCAAAATTACTGTTTTAGAAGAGTTAGCTTAGTCATAGAATTAATATATAAGATATTATAATAAAGTAATGTTAAAATGTGTTTGTAAATTTATTAATTTTTTTATCAAATATAAATATAACATTTTAATCAAATATCAATACTTTTGTATACATTTTTTATATAACTTTTGAAAAGCTTTCAAAAAAGTTTTACAAGCTGAAACACTTGCAATAATTATAAATTAAAGTCTTTGAGTTAATGTTGTAGCAGTTTAAAAAAAAAAAAATAATTTTTTTTAATTTTTTTTTTATTATAAAATTTTAGCTTGAGCATAAATATTTTTAAATTTTATGACTTAACAAAATGTTGAATCCTACAAGAGTCATTTCTTTTTGCTGGTTACAAGTGGTGCAAACAAAAGAAGAAGAAGAAACAGGAGTAAGAATTGCATGAACACAATAAAAGATAATATCTTGGATTATCTTGATATCTCTTTGAATTTTTTTTTACCAAGGTTATCAGCAAAGGACTATGTAAAAAGAAGTATTGTAGTAGATTCAGTATGTTGCCGTTAAAAAGATTATCTAAAAAGAAGTATTGAAGTAGATAAATTACAATAATTTGCATACAATAATTTTTTTTTTATTTCATAAATTCACCTCCCTATTGCTCCAGTGACCACTTTAGTCAAGGGAGCAACTCATTTTAAGAAAATGTTTTGTCTCAATCCTTAACGTTACCATTTTTACTAACAAACAACATTAACAATTAATATTTTTAAACAAAGGCGCTGTGCTGAGAAATAGATTGAGCACAGTAATTTCAGCAGAGGTAATTTGAACCCCAATTTTCTGATTGCGAGCCAATAGCATATTATATCTTTAGTGCAAATAAGGACTCCATCAACTATAAATGATGTTAATTAATTGCACTAAATTAAAAACATGTTCAGATTATTTTTGACCAAAAAAAAAATCACTATAAAAATTATTATGACAGTTGAGTTATTCAAAGTTGGTAAGACAATATAAATGTTGCAAACTTGTTTTTTATACTAACATGTTCAACATATCATTTCAAAAACTAGTTTGCAGAAGCTTACAACATGTAATCAACAAGTTTGCAACATGATGTTGCAACCTTGTAAATTATTGTCAATCAGGATGACTATAAACACTTTTTAAACATTTTTGCATCATAGAAGAAAACTTTTAGCCTAATCACTAGATTTTTTTTTAACAGAACATTATACTGTCCAGCTTCCTGGAAAAGTTATCGGCCTGATCAACATTATACAGTAATTATCTTAATTATCTTACTTTATAAGATTATATTAGTATTTTTAAAATGGTAAGATTAGCTTCCATCGGTAAACCAAGTTTTTTGGATTCCATCATTAATCGACAATCTTCATAAGAATGATCAGAAACAGGAAGTTCAGCTAACATGGATATTTAAAACTTAAACAATGTAACCAATATTTAAAATATTTCTTTATACAAAATTACAATAATTTAGCAATTATATCCAAATTTTTAAGAGAGTAATGATTAGCCACTTCGGGATTACACTTCATAATGTTTTTATTTTTTAGATTATGGGGTGATTTGTTTTGCAAATGGGTTTGTGCCTAAGCTTTGATTGTTCTTGAAATATCTAAAATGAATTTGTTAGTAACTATTACTGTGTCTTCACCACCAGATTCTTTTTTTTTAATTGAAGATGTTTTACCAGCTCAATTTTGCAACTGAATCAAAGTAACACAATATAAAGCTCTATTGCGTGTGTTTCTTCACCTTTTAGCAAACTTGATACTGATGTTCATTTTCAACCTGCTGTTCATAATGACCCTTGTTGACTGTACATGTTGTAAACTTGTAGCTGATGCAAAATATTCAAAACCTATAAAATAGACAGATGAGCATGAGTATCATTTTTACCAACAAATCTTGTCCTTGTGAACTGTATACAAGTTTTCAACATGTTCTCTCATTGAATGAAACATGCTTGCACATAACATTTTTTTTTATGTTTTAAAGTTATATGCACTTAATAAGGATAAGTCTAGTAAAGTGTAGCATTTTTTGCCTGACAACTTTTCATTTCTAGACTGTGAATAAAGTTTAACAATTTTTATGTATAGCTTGTGGCTTTGTACTGAAATTTACAGTTTATAACATAAGCTTTAAAAAAAAAAAGATCAAATACCAATATAAAATTACATCTATAGAACGCTTGTTTGGAAATATAGACATTCGAAAGGAGAATAGAGGTACTAAATAACTAGTAATGTTTTGTACTTTGGAATTTAGTTAATAGAATAATTTTTATTTCCTTTATAAGTATTTAACTAAGTTTTAATACATATTTCAATAATATTTATAATAACTTGCTATATGTTTTAAAAAAATAATAAATAACCAACTTGCTGCAAAAACAGATTGATTGGTTTTGGATATATTCTAAATACCATTTTGTATATAAATACAGTGTTTACAAGAAGTAATTAGAGTATAAAAGATGCACTTGCTGATAATAGAGCATTTATAAGTGTTAAAATCAGAGTCATCAGTTGGAAAATAGGACATTTTTAAAAAAACCCAAATATATTTTGGGTTTTATTGGGTTTTTTTGGGTTGGTTTTTTTTTGCCAACCCTGTCAAGAATACTTGAGAACATTATTTAACTGCTGTTGAACAGTTGTTTAAAAATAAAAATGTTTTAAAATTATTAACTTTTTTATTACTTTGCCAAATAATGTGCTGTTTGTCAAATTAATTTAAAAAAATATTCTTTAAAGAGAACATTTTGAAAAGCTTTTGTTAGTGCAAGTTTTAAGTTATTCTTTTAAAACAATTGAAGAAAAGTTTTAATTTTTTATATATTTTTTGTAATGAATTATTTTTTTAATGTTGTTTTAAGAAAGAAGCAAAACAGTTTATATTTCTGTTTTGCTGGTGTTTCTGAAAACAAACAAACATTGGAACTACGCATTGAAAAAATTATAGAGATAATACAATAAATAATACAATTTATTATTTATTTGAAATGAAATTTCAAATAAATTATAAAAGATTTTTTTATTATAAAATATTTAAAAAAAATTTTTTACAACAATTTATTTTTCTTTATATTTTAGCCATATTTTATGACAATTGACAAATGCAAAGATGCTTGTTCTTACCTACTAGCAAAGTAAGTTTTCAAAATAATTTCAAAGTTAATTTTTGGTGCTTTTTTCAAGTTAGTAATTTGAACAAATATTTTGTACATATATTCAAGTTAGTAATTTAAATCGATTATAATAGAAATTAAAATTAGAAAAAATTAGATTAAATTAAATAGATAAAAAAAAATTAGATTAGATTAAATAGAAAAAGTAGAAAGAAAAAAAGAGTAAAAGAATTAAGTCACCAGAAACAGTAAAAAGTTGAAAGAATAGAACTAATATGAAAATATTAAAAAAAATTTTTTTTTGATAAAAAAGCAGACAACAAAATTGTTTTAATAAGAAATTCTTTTATATGAATGTTTTTATATGACAACATCTGAAATGTTTAAATAACCAAACAGTTAGCATACTTGTTTGAATCTAGTTAGTGCCAATAGCGCAGCAGCTTAACCCAAAATAAAATTAAAATCTTTCACTTTGTGATACAAGCACCAAATTTTGCATGTGACAAGTTTAACTATCCTTTGAATAAAAGAGCACATTAGCCACACAAAAAAATCAAAATGGCAGCCATTTTTTCAATATGGCGGACAATAACTAAAATTCCTATGAAACTAAAAGATTAAATGCATTTAAAGCACATAAGTTGCAAATAAACACTTATAACTCGACAAGAAATTGCTAAATATATTTTTTGTAACACAGAGATACATTCAGAATCAACATGGAGCTGTTGGAGGCCATTTTGAATTCAAAATAGTGGATAAAAGACCACCTGATATTATGATGATGAATGATATTATCGACAAAATGTCGATAATATCATTCTGATATTATTGACATTTTGTCCTTCTAGAAATCTAAGAAGGGAATCTCCTGTCGTAGAAAGTATCAAACCAGTCACAATACCTGTGACAAATATCATTTTATCTTCTTAAATCTTCTTAAATACATTTAAAACACAACTATAGAAAGTCATTTAATATATAGATATTTACAAATCGGGTCAATCCTTGACCATTCAAACAAAACATTAAAAAAAAAAATTTTGTTTCTAAAGAAACATCCAGGCTCTTTAGGTTTAACTCTTTACATTATCAGAACATTTTCAAAAATGATTATGTATCTCACTGACAACTGCATAGAGCAGTACACAGCAAACTCAGTTGAAGTTCTTAGATCGACCCCGACATTTATTTTTACATCCACATTTGGAAGCTGCTTTCATGACTCAGCAATTGGAAGAAGAAAACTAATAAGAAGACAACTGTTATACAACTGTCCATATATCATCCTTTAGCTTCCAGCCCCAATCAGATGGACTTACTTCTTCCATTAAACATGTCAATGCCTGAGTCCATATGCATCCTGCTGGATATGCTACTCGTTTGGTATGTTGAATCAGTGCCAGACATACACAAAAATCCTTTTATCAGCCTCTTCATGATTACAAGGTGCGAGGTTTTCTAAATCTGCTTCATGATTGCATATCATGGTCTCACCTTGGATCACGTAAACGATGTCTGTACAATGTTCAACAATCATGTATGCCAGAAATTGAAATAGTTTGGTTTTGTTGGTGTCATCTCTCATGAAGCTCTGCCAATTCTTTGGGATTTTTCCAGTTCCTGTAACCCTTTGTTGTGCTCCAAAGCCTCGCTTTGATCTAGTCTCTGCTTTTAAACTCAACGGTTTGTACACATCAAAAATAACATCAGTTTTAACATATTTTGAAATGTATGTTTTGAAATGTATGTTTAAACTTTTGGAATGACTTCAAGTCTGGTATATTCATTAAACGTCTTGGAAATTCTGGACATAAGTGAATTCACAAGAGCTGACCCATCCATTATAATAGCTTCGGCATTTGGTAGTTTGTCTGAGTTAACAACTGGTTTGCCAAGAACTGTTGCCAGCTAGGACTTTAGGCATTAATGTAGTCTCCCAGAGTCACTCAATGCACCGGAAAAGCTTGGTTTTCATGTTGAAAGAGGTCATTTAGGTTGCATTCTCTAGCTTGATATGATATAAATAATTTGGAAAATGCGCATTCATCTTTTAGGTTCTTCTGTTTTAGATCCTTGTTTGTCTGTTTTGGCTGGCTGAAAAAGTCTACCTTGTTCTTTTTTATAGGCTTGTAGAATTTACTCTCTGAGTCAAGTAAAAGACTTGCTATAAGTTCTTCAAATTGTTTCTTTCTTGTCTCATAACGTGTAGCAACTTTCTCTGCCATACTTGGATGAGCAACTTGTTTGGTATCTAGAGTCAACAAGTCTTTTGTTTCTTTCAGGAACGAATTTCCCCTCTCAGTAACAGTACTGTACAATTTGTTTACATGTTCGAGAAATGTCTTTTGTGCATGGGTGGTCTGCTCATGATGTTACACTTCATTATTATCTTTGCTATCTGATATCTTTTCATATGTACTAACGAGATGGCTCACCTTGGGACCAGCAACCATCCATCGTCTGAGAGCCGATGGATCTTTCTCGACACTGGTTGCTCTACTTTCGCCTTTGATAACAGCATTTGCGTGTTCATGGACTTGATCTATTGCTAAGGCAGAAAATTCTCGAGATGATTTATGGACCACAGAATTTGCCCTTCAGAAACTCAGTTTTAATCTGTGGATGAGTGTGATCTAAACACAGCATATCTCTGAGATGAATTGGTAACCAATGAGCATAATTGGTGTTGTTATTTGCCAAAAAAATAGGGTAACAATATTTGCAAAGCCTGGCAATATAAATCGAAATTGGTTTCTCTGAAAGACCATACTAACGATAGAATGGTCAGCTCCATTTCCAAAATCGTTAACCAGAATTGGAATTGTGGACTGTGTACTCAATTGTCTACTTTTTTCTGATATAACTTCTGTTGAACTTGAGGATGCTACCCTTTTAGTTGTTCTGTCAAGCTTGCTATAGCTGAACATTAGTCTGCAACTTTGGTGATACTTTGCTTGGTTTTTGCGGAGTGTTTTTTCTATGTTTGTTTAATTTTTCAGGATCAAGTAAAATTGGTAACCTTGTAATGTCCTTAAATAAAGGAACATTTCTTGCAATCATGACATATCTGTCTCTGTCTTCTTTAGTCTCATATCTGGAAGGAGGTGATTTTAACTCTTCACAGTTGTCCAGACTGTACACAGTCTGGACAACTGAAGCCCCGTTATTCTTGGCTCAGCACTTCCGCGCTGGCACATCCTGTCAATTCAGGTGCGGCTATCTCACTTTTTTAGTTTTATTACAAAATAAAAATAATAATACTCAATGTGGGACTAACTCGATAGCATTTGGGACACTGAAACGTATTAAATTATATATCAGCTGATACTGAACCCCATGCTGGGTTTCACAGCAATGGTGTTACCAGTGTCTTCTTAGCACAACCAGTGGTGCCCTGGTTGTGCTAAGACGACCACTCCTTTAATGTATATACATACTGATTATATAAAAAATAATTGTAGTGATATCAAAAGCAGCAAAACTTAAACATATCATAATTGAATTCAACAAATACCATCAAGATAAAATGTAAAAACCATCAAAGGAATAGAAAAGTGCCTAAAAGTCAATATTTTTTTACAAAATGGCCGCAAATTTTGCAAATAAAATTGATAATAAAGATTAAGAATATTTTGTCATAGTTTAGGATTTGAAAATGTAGGAGTTCTGACTTTTACCAATGCTAAAAGTAATATTTAAAGAGGCATAGTCAAACCTTGTATCTAAATTTCTGGTCAATGTCCGCCATCTTGAAAAATGGCTGCCATTTTCTGGTTTTTTTTTATGGCTAATGTGCTTTTTTTTCAAAGACATAGTTAAACTACAATCCTGCCAAGTTTGGTGCTTGTATCATTAACTGAAAGATTTTTTCACTAACCTGCCGCGCTACAAGTAAAATGATTGAATAATTGTTAGTAACCTTTGTAGTCACCAGGTTTTACGGAAAAGCATGTTCTGAATTTTTTTCAGAACTTTTATCAAGTTCAACAGTGACTTACTTTAAATATAAGATTTGTAAGAAAATTAATTAATTTAAATTAGAAACAATGCCCATAAAGGAACTGGAAAGAAAAATACAATAATCTGATTATTATATTATAAAGATTTTGGTGCAGACCAGAATGATTTTTATTTTTTAACTTAGTCAAAATCTTTAAATATATAATGAGTAATTTTTTACTGTTGCAATTATTATCACAGACTATTAAAAGACTCCACTAGACACCTAACACTACCAGGAAAGCACCACCTGACAAACATCTGGAAAATTGAAAAAGTTTTAAGTTGTTGTATTTGACAAAAAGATATTTGAAAATGTTTAAAGAGGATCTGTAAGTATTATGAAAAGCCATTTTGTTTGAGCCAAACTTTAAAAAAACCAATTTGCTTTTTTCAACCAAGCTGTTCAGAAAGTTGCTCAGTGAGCCAGTGAATTGTTTTGCTAATTTACAATCATTATGTTAATCCAAGCAGCTCTTTGAGCCTCTCCCAAAAATAAAAGATAAAAAGTTGTTATATCAAAATTAAAACTAACAGTTTTTATATTAAGGTATTAAAAGACACCACAAGACACCAAACACCACTAAACAAGTACCAACAAATAAACATCAGGATAGTTAAGGTTCAGTCTAATATCTTACGATTAAAACTAAAATTTTTGAAAAATAAACTTTTCATATTTGCACTAAACTTCTTTATTTTTAATTTGTATGTTTTAACTCATCCATAAGCATTTCAGTTGCCATGGATTTAAAGGCAATTATAATAGCTATTTTATTGCTCAGATAAAACTAAAAACAAATCAACTTTAAAAAATCAACATTAAAAAGTTTTATATTGATAATGCATATACAATTTTGTTTTAATAGTAAATTAATTTTGTTTAAATAATTTTAACTAAATTTTTTATAGCCATTTTTATTCAAAAAAAGTCATTTCAATCCTATATCTTTGCTTCTCAAACATTTTTGAAAAGTGACAAATTTGAAAGAATGGGAGAAAAAATTGAAAGAAGAAGGGAAAATATTGATACAATGTTTACCTTATTCATTGTATCAGTTTTAGTTCAAAAAGGCTGCAAGCAACAACTATTAAGTTAAAAGTTACTAAAAAATAAAAAATTAGAGAGCAAAGAAATGGTTGACAGAAAACTCAAGCTGGGCAGGTAAAGCAGGTCTAAGTACGTTAACAATACATTTTTGTACTTTGTCAAAAAGAGAAAGAGCATCGCTAAAAGAACCAGCCCAAATATGACAACAGTATTCCATACAGGGACAAATAAGAGATTTGTAAAGGTAGAAAATGGAATCAGGAGTAAAAAATATGGGAATATGGTAAAGAGAAGTTAACAGATACAAACTTTGCTATCATTTCCATGAGAAGTCAGTAGTGAAGGTTTATTTAAGAAGGCGCAAAAAAGTGACACACAACAAGAGGGTTGACATTCATTTTTATTGGAATGTTAACAGTGTTGCAATAGTTGTTTGTAGTAAGTAACTGAGTTTTGTTGAAGTTAAAATTCTTAAGCCCCAATCAGTTACAGAAGTAAGATCAGATTCAAAAACAGTTGCCCGTTCTAAATGAATTGAAAAGAGAGGACTTTTTGTCAAAACTTTTTTTCAGGAGTATAAAGTTGAGTCATTAGCAAATTGGTTTAGATGTAACATTGTCAGGAAGATCATTAATGTAAATAAAAATAAAACAAGATTATAGTTAGAACCTTGAGGTACCCCAGAAGAGTGTTGCACTTTGAGGGTGACTTTGAAAAAGCGGTCAGAAAGATATGATTTAATAATCTCAAAAACTTTCCCAGATACACCATATAAAGCAAGCTTATGGAGAGGACCACAATGCCAGACTCTATTGAAAGTTTTAGATATGTCAAGAGTAGCAGCTCTTGCTCCATCACCTCTATCATATGCAAAATAGAATCTTTCAGTCACAGAAGTTAGCAAGTTAGCTGTAGAATGAGAAGATTGAAAACCATAGTGGTTGTCAGACAATAAGTTATTCAACTCAAGATGAAATGTTAGAAACTTGTTAATCAAAGACTCAATTAACTTAATAATAATAGAGAGAAGACTGATAGGATGATAGTTAGAGGGGTCAGAATGTTTTCAGAGTTTTTAAAAAGTGAAGCTACAGATGTCAACATCCAGTATGCAGGAAAGCAAGATTCAGTCAAGCATTTATTAAATAGTTTAGAGAGAATTGAAGAGAGTTCTGGAAAACACTTTTTTAAGACTATGACAAGAATGTTATCTCAACCACAAGCCATAGAAGAGTTTAATTGGCATATGAATTAAGCAATGAAAGCTGGAATGATTTAAATGTCTAACAATGGGTTAATCTGTTTAACTGTGGGTGTAACCTGTTTAATAGGTTAAACTTTTTATTCTTCATTATGAACCACATTATAGTGCTTTCTTTATATGATCTTTATAAATCTTTAACAACATTTAAATTACAAAGATCTTACATTTGGTAAACATATTCAATTAAAAACTCAATGAGATATAATTTTTAGGCAGTAAACATTTAATGAAATATAATTTTATAATTACAAATTGTCTCTACAGTGGTGTGCAGCAAATGTGACACCAATTTTCAAAAAAGGATGTAAGTGACACCAAATGCGACACCGATTTTCAAAAAATGGTGGACATCTAACTATAAGTTACTGAACTGTGTCAATAAAGTCAGTAGCAAAATATTCGAAGGAGTTGAAATAAAATGAAAAATAAAAAAACTTTTTTTGGGCTGCGCGCAAATACAATCGAAAACGGTCTAGAATAGTCCCTGACCATGCCACACAAGCAACTTATGTTAAAAATGAAGGCATATGGAATAAAAGGAAAATTTTTAAGCTGGATTGATGCATTTGTGAATAATCGAATACAAAGAGTGGTTTAAGGTGATGCAGTGTCAACACGGAGAAACATATTAAGTGGTGTTTCACAGGGATCCATTCCAAGGCCATTCCTCTTTGTAGCATGCATCAATGACATACCATAGAAAATCAAATGCACTGTAAAAATATATGCAGATGACATCAAAATCTTATCAGCAGTAAATTCATTGGGGATGATAAAAAACTCCTTTGTCCGTTTAGATCAGCATCTTGTCAAATAATTATACACAACTTTCGTTAGACCTCTGATTGAATTTGCAGTACCAGTTTGGTCACCAAACTATTAAGGTGACATTGAAATATTAGAAAAAGTACAGTACAGAATGACAAAGATGGCAAAGAACATAAGAAGTCTGCAGTACTAATATTGTTTACAGGCACTAAATTTAACAACATTGTCAGAAGGAAAACAAAGAGGAGATCTTATTCAAGTAGTTAAAATTTTCAATAAAATCAAAAAAATAGAACTTTTAAACAAATAAACTTTCTCAAAATCATGCAGAGGTCACAATAAAAAATACAGTAGAGAACAAACCAAGTTTATACCCAGACACAGATTTCTTATAAAAATAATTTTATGGGATGCATTGCCGTTGGAAATTGTTAATTCAACAAACGTAAACAATTTCAAGAACAAACTAGATGTATATTTAGCATCAAAAATTAACTTAAAAACTATTTTTGTTTAAATTTTTCGGATTGAATTGTTGTATATTGTCAAAAGCTGTCAAAGTGAATTATTAACTCACTCACTCAGTTTTTATGCAGTTTTAACTACTATGACTATTACTAATAATTTTTGCCATATTTTATATTTCTATACTTTAATTATAAAATTTTAATTATTTTTGCCATATTTTATATTTCTATACTTTGATTAAAAAAGTTTTGTTTTTTAAGAATTAAAATAATTAAAATATACTTTCATGGTAATATCTACAAGCCCTTTAGTATTTGATATTGTTGTTTTGTCATTAACAGGTTTCTTACTCGCCCAGATATGGTTAATGTAAAGTTGCCTGAATTCATGAATACTTCATATGATCTTTTAAATTCTGTTAAGTGTAAGAATTTCATTTTATTATTATTTTTTTCAAATTTGTTATTTATACTGTATTTGAACTGTTAAAAAAACAAAGTTAAAAGTTAAAATACCTTGTCTGAAAACAAAAGTCTTATGTCAGAAAAAAGTTAAGAGACATGCAAAACTATTTTAATCCCATAAATATAATAAAGAAATTTTCTTGGTAGCTTTACTACAACTTCAAGAGCTGAGCTCTAGATACAAATATATATATATATATATATATATATATATATATATATATATATATATATATATATATATATATATATATATCAGTATATATATATATATATATATATATATATATATATATATCAGTATATAATATATATATATATATATATATATATATATATATATATATATATATATATATATATATATATATATATATACATATATATATATATATATATATATATATTTAATATAAATATATATATATATATATATATATATATTATATATATATATATATATATATATATATTTATATATATATATTATTAATATAAATATATATATAAATATATATATATATATCAGTATATAATATATATATATATATATATATATATATACATATTTATATATATATATATATATATATATATATATATATATATATATATATATATATATATATATATATATATGTATATATATATATATTTATTTATATACTGATTGATTATATATATACCATTGATATATGTATATATATATATATATATATATATATATATATATATATATATATATATATATATATATATATATATATATATATATTATATATATATAAAAACTTATATACTGATTGACTATATATATACCATTGATATATATATATACAGTGCATGTGATGAATAAAATTGCCCAGTGCGATATTTCGCGCTTGTATTACTGAAATCAAATCAAAGAGCACAATTATTATCAAAGAGCGCAATTATGAGTGCTCAGCATTAAATCTTCGAGGGCAATATTCAGAGTCGGAAATTGGTTGCCATAGGACCATTCATAAATTGCATATGTAAGTATGGGGAGGGGGTCACTCAAAAACATACCAGTTTGTACAAGGAAAAGGGTGTGCAATTTTTTTTTTTAATTATTTTCATGTGAAGTCCAGGAAATCAGGCAAAAAAGCTTTGGTTTTTTAGTTATTGCATTTGTCTATCTATCAGAAAAAATGTTACTGCAGCTTTAAAATAAAAACAATGAAATATCACCATTTACTAAAAGATGACTAAATAACTTTGTTTCCTTTTTGGAGTTTAATTAACATGCTTGATTGCGGACATTTTAAACAACATAAACGTTTTTAATTTGATTTAGAATAAATAATAGTTGAAAAAAAATTGTTGTGGCGCAATGGTACTGTTGATTTAGTTTTTTTATCTTAAAGTCATGGTAGTAATGTTTGATTGGTTTATTTTAAGTCACGGCTGTGAATATTATTGGTTAATTTTGAAAGTTTCATTTGTACAAATTTAAAAAGGATAGCATCTCTACATTATATGTTTAGCATTGTGGTATATTATTGGTTCATCTTCTACAGTGATCCAGGATCAAGTCCTTCACTTAGAAAAATATTTTAAAATGTTTTTTAACTATTTAACTATTATTGAAAGTTATTATTATTGTTATATATTGAAAGTTACATTGATTTTTATTATTTACATACATCAACAAATTTAGGGATAGGCACAGTGAGTTTAGAAACATTGACTGATTTAGGGATAGGCGCAGTGGAGCACACATACATCAATTAAGGGTTTTGGTTTGATCATGCATTCTTTAAATAAAAGAAAAAAAATCAACCAATCAGAAATCACTACTGTGACTTTAAGAAAAAAATTAAAGTGTACCATTGCGTGAGCAACAGCAGAAAAAAAAAAAAAGATTAAAAATATTTTTTTATTTTCAAAAGATGTGTGAAAAATTAAAAACAAAGCAAAAGAATCTTACATTTTCACAAAATCTTGTGGATTAAAACTTTTGATTTTTCAAAATTTAATCAAGTTTTAATTTTTTAATTTAAATTTTCAATTATCATTATGACAAAGCGTTTTGAAAATATTAAACATTCCATTCTGTTAGCAGTAATGCTTTCTTTCATTGTTTGTACAAAATAGAAAACTTCTTTCTTATTTAAACTGAATGCGCTATTTAAATATTATCAAGGTTATAATATTTTATATACTAGATTATATACTTAATAAATATATAATAGACTTATACTAATATAATATATATTATTGTAAGTATGTATATACTTATACAAATACAATGTATAAATAACTTATATATTTACGAGTATTTCAAAAAATGTGTTTGTGAAATTAATTACTTTTTTTTCTTATGTTGTTTGTGAGCATGCTTCCAAAAGTTGTAATTCCTAGTTATATAACAAATATATTTTCAAACGTATTGTTTATTAAAACTAGCTTTAACTTTTTTAAAAAATAGACTTTAATATAAGCTTAACTGATTCGAAGTTTAGTTTTATATTAACTTATATTTGACAAAATATTTCATATCCCAACGTTTTGATGTTTTTGAATTTTAAATATAATAGCCATTAATTAATAGAATGTGATCGAACTTGTACGAAATCGAAGCTTTAAGTGAAGTTTTAGTTTGATAAACTTTTTACAGTAGATATTTATTTATAAGATATTTATAAATATTATGCTAGATAATTTTTTAACATTTAAGTTTGAATTTTTTTGTCAAATGGACCCTGAAAAAATAAATGATTTAGCGAATGGTTTGACATAACCAGGGTACGATTAAGCGGATAATAAAGTTCAGCTGGAATTAAAAAAAAATGCTGAATTTAGCATTCAATAGAAGGAATAAATCAATTTTAAGTTGAACTTATACCGCATAAATTAAAATTAAAGTAAGCCACGCTTAAATTATGCATGACACTCTACTATTTAAACATATTTTGACTTCAGCACAAAAATTTTACTTAAAATATTTTCTATTAAATCAACATAATTTTCAATAATATTCCCTCACAAGTTCTTCAGATGAGCAGGATTTTTTACTCTCGCATCGAAACTAGCGAGCGCTATTTGTTGCACTCGGAAGGTCATTTAGCAGGCGTGATTCACGTGCGAGGATCGCTCCTGCTTCATCACAAGACCTGTATATATATATATGTATATATATATATATATATATATATATATATATATATATATATATATATATATATATATATATATATATATATATATATCAGGCTTGTTCGGGAAGTGGGTGCGATCGCACTCGATGATTGACCACAGAAATATTATTTAGTTGCGAAAAACGGCCAGATTTTTTAGTCGTTTTGAGAGCATTTCAAAAACAAACAAAAAAGCGCAGTAAGATTAACTGGACCAATGAGAGACAGTTAAAAAAAGAAAAATAGCTTTTAACGCAAAAAAACTTCAAGCAAAATAAGTATATTAGAGGAATTATTTTTGAAACGTTGCTCTTTTATAATTTTTTTAATAAAATTAAGTGACATTTTTTATATAAAGTAACAACTATAAAGAAACAAATGTTCTTCGATTTATCAAAGAGTATATATAATTTTTATTTATATACTTATGTCTTATTTCCAGTTTTTATTTATACACTTATGTCTTATTTCTTATTTATATACTTATGTCTTATTTCTTAGTAAGATGAACAAATAAAATAATTAAATCATTGAGTTACTGTAGAAATTCAATTAGCTAGATAGAAATTTAAAAAAACGTTAAATTACATTGTGAGGAGGAAGCGGAACTGCTTCACAATACTGCTGATGATGTTTTAGTAAGTAGGCTTTATAATTTTAATTAGTATTTAAACCAGAAAAAAGTAACTCTAAGTATAACGAGTTTGTAAGAATGGCTGAAGCAAAAATAATAGAAGTTATAAACCAATTTCTAAGAACTTAAAAACTTTTCTTTCTTAGGAGAAATAATCAGTTATCGGGTAACTGAGGAATATGGATTAGTGGTTAAAATTATTTGTATTAGCTTTGACGATTATTAATAATTTCATTAAAAACACAGTTATTATTGAAAGTATTTTTGTTTACAAAATCAATCGCAAATATTGCTTTAAAAGATTACATTGAATAAAATATACATACATAAAAATACATACATAAAAATACATTACATAAAAAATACATCTCTTGTATATAAAAAATTAGAATATACTAATAAAATCTATAATATATTTACAAAACGTTGACAAGTTAAAAAATATAAATTAAAAACATTATTGTAAACAAATATTGTTAGTTTAAAACATTTATAGCTTTGTAGATGTGGCTCCAAGAATTAAAATAATCGTTCGTTTGATAGTATATTCTTAAAATAGTTTATGCTAGAAATCTCAACAAAAATGTAATAAAACTCAAATAATACCATTTTTAAAAATATTTCAACAGAATAATCAGGACATTTGGTTAGTATTTTTTGAATACTCTAGAAATTTTGGTTAGTCTTTTTTGAACCAATTGAATTAATTAATATTCTTTTTTTATTTTTCCGTACTAAGATGTTTGAGAACATTCAAGTTTATGTATGTTTCCATGTAAATCCGTAAAACGAAATATTTTAAAATTTACGATAAAATGAACTTATTATTTTGCAGACAAACAAGGAAACATACAAAAACTTAAATGTTCTCAAAACAACTAAAAAATTTGGCCTGTTTTTCGCAACTAAATATTATTTCCGTGGTCAGTTATCGAGTGTGATCACACCCGCTTCTCGACCAAGCCTGATATATATATATATATATATATATATATATATATATATATATATATATATATATATATATATATATATACACATATATATATATTTATATATATATATATATATACCATTGATGTATATATACTATTGATATGTGTATATATATATATATATATATATATATATATATATATATATATATTTCGATCCCCACCACGTC